CAATTTCTGCCCTTGAGCAAAATGTTGCCTGTGGGTTTTCATAAATGGCTCTTACTGTTTTGAGGAAGGAGCCTTCTATACCTAGATTCTCAAAGGCTTTTATCAAGAAGGAATGCTGAGTTTTGCCAAATGCTTTTCCTGCATCTAATGATATAATCACGTGGTTCTTGGTTTTACATCTGTTAATGTGCTGAATTATGTTTTTGGTCTTGCAACTGTTGAACCAGCCCTGCATCCCAATAATGAAGCCTTCCTGGTCATGATGGATGATCCTTGAGATGTGTTGTTGGATCCGGTTTGCTTAAATCTTGTTGAGAATTTTTGTATCTGTGTTCATCAAGGAAATTGGCATGTAATTTTCTTTCCTTGTTGAATCTTTGCAAGGTTTGGGTATCAGTTTGATGTTAGCTTCATAAAATGAGTTGAGAGAATTCCATCATTCTTGATTGTCTGGAATACAGCTGGTATCATCTCCTCCTTGTATGTCTTGTAGAATTCACCTGGGCAGCCATCTGACCTAGGGCTTTTTTGGTGGGGAGATTTCTTATGACTGAGTCAATTTACTGGATTGTTACTGGTCTGTTTAGAGTTTGTTTCTTCTTGTTTCAACCTTGGGAGATTGTGTGATGTCAGAAAGTCCTCCTTTTTTTAAAAAAGGTTTTCAGTAGTATTCATATTAGTAATAGGCATGCATAGTAATCTCTGATAATCTTTTGAATGTCTTCAGGGTAGTAATTTGTGACTTCGCCTTTTGTATTTCTAATTGTGTTGATCTGGACCATTTCTTTCTTTTTCCATCAGTCTGGCTAGGTGTTCATCAGTGTTATTTGTCCTTTTAAAGAACCAGCTTTTTGTCTTGTTGATACTTTCTATGATATTCTTGTCTTCTGTATCCTGCAATTGTGATTTTATTTGGTGATCTGAATTCTTCTGTTGAAGTTAGGACTTAAGTGATCTTCCCTTTCCAGCTCTCTTAGATGTGACATAGGGGTGTTTACTTGTTATCTTTGTTTTTTTGATGTGTGCATGCAATGCTATGAATTTTTTCTCTTAATACTGCTTTCATGGTATCCCAGGGATTCTGGTAAGATGTGTCTTTGTTTTTGTTTGTTTCAAGGAATCTTTGATTATTTCTGTCTTGATTTCTGTGTTGATCCAGAAGTTATTCAGCAGCATGCTATGAAGTGTCCGTGTCTTTGTGTGTGTTTGAAGGGACCTTGTTGGTGGCAATATTTATTTTTATTCCACTGTGATCTGAGAAGGTGCATGGTATTAACTTGATCTTTTGAAATTTGTTCGCTTGATTTATGTCCGAGAATGTGATCAATCTTGGAGTATGTTTCATGTGCTGATGAATATAGAATGTATACTCTTTTGATGTTGGGTGTTCTGTAGAGGTTTATTAAATCCATTTGCTTGCTCGTCAAATTAAGGCCCCAAATCTCTTTGGTGATTTTTTTTCCCCTCAGTGATCTATTTAAAACTGTTACTGGGGCATTTAGGTCTCTGACTGTGGTTGTGTGGATGTCAGTTTCTTCTCTTAGTTTATTTAGTAGTTGTTCCATAAAACCTGGTGCTCTTGTGTTGGATGCTTATATGTAAGATGAAATCTCTTGCTGATGAATTGAGCCTTTATCATTATGTAGTTTCCTTCCATGCCCTTTTTAACTTTGAATTGTTTGAAGTCTGCTTTGTCTGATATCAGAACAGCTACACTGTTCTCTTCTGTTTTGTATTTGCCTGAAAAAGTGTCTCCCAGCCCCCAAATCTGAACTGTGAGTGTCCTTTGCAGTAAGATGAGTTTCCTGGAGGTAGCAGACTGTTGGATCATTCTTCTGTATCCCGTTTGCCACTCTGTGTCTCTATAGTGGTGCATTTAGTCCATTCATATTCAAATTTATTACTGAAATGGGAGAGTTTATTTCTGCCATAGGGCTCTTAGGGGGTTGCTTTGTTTCCTTTTTCCTTTTGAATTTATTTATGAATGTGTTTTCATTTTTTGTGGATGGCTTATATGCTCTATGAACTCTGAGTTTGCCTGTGATAGTCATGTCTGTTCCCTTATTTTTTTTTTTTTCCTTTTTTTAATCTGTGTTCAACACCATTCTCTGAAGGACTGGTCTGGAGGTGGCATATTCTCTTAGGGATTGGATGTCTGGGAAGATTTTAACTTTTCATCAGTGATGAAGCTTAGCTTGACAGGGTAGGAAATTCTTGGTTGGAGTTGCTTATCTTCAATTTAAGAACATTAAAAATTAGACTCCAGCCACTTCTGACTTGTAGTGTTTCTGCAGTTAAGCCTAGAGCAATTCTTATGGGTCTTCTTCAGTAGGTAGTCTGACCTTTCTTTCTTGCTGTCTTCAGGATTTTTTCTTTCATGCTTATTTTGTGGAGGCAGGTTTCTATGTGCCTTTGGGATGCTCTTCTCATTTAATACCTTGCAGGGGTTCTCTGAATCTCTTTTGCTTAGATGGTCATTTCTCAAGCAAGATAAAGGAAATTTTCTTGAATGACCTCATGGAATGTTTGCTCCATGGTATTTTCTGTTTCCCTTTCTGCTTCAGGAATACTAATCAACTGTAGATTTGGCTTCCTGACATAGTCCCACATCTCTCAGAAACTTTGCTCCTTCTTTTGAGATTTTTTTTCCCTATGTTTATGACTGAGTAGGTTAATTCCATATTTTGGTCTTAAAGCTCTGAGACTCTTTCCTTACCTGGTTGACCCTGCTCCCTTTGCTTCTTAATTTCCAGGATGAAGTTTTTAATTTCCATTATTTCAGAATGGGCTTTTTCAAATTGACCAACTACACTTTTGCTTCCTGTATAACTTCAGTGAGTTTCACTTCTAGTTTCTCTTGGTTTCTTTTCATTTTTGCCACCCAATCTCTGATTTCTGTGACCTTTGTCTGTGGCAGGTCATTCTGGGGGGTTTCTGCTGTTTTTGCTTTGATAGCTGCTTTTTTAGACCGTCTCTTTGGAACTCTCAGGGTTTCTTATATTTTTTATCAATTTTTTCTAATTTATGACAGTCCTCTCTTCCCTCTCTATAATTTCACTTGATATTGTTACTCTGAAGTTACTCAGTTACCCTCTGTTCTAGGACCCTTTCCGTTCTTCAACCCAGGTCACTCAGTGAAAGAGGGCTCCTTGCTGCCCCCTGTGCCAGGTTTCTGTCACTGCAGATTTCTCTCCTGCTGCTAAGCTAGTCAGACCAGCTTTCAGCCTGTGCTGCTAGCACTCTTCGGTTATCTTCAGTTGGTTTGCAGCCCAGGAGCCTTCCACCGGGTAGCCTTCAGATGTCTTTTGTGTCACTTCCTCCCTTTTCAATTCCACATTCTGCTCTTGAAAAAGAGCACGTTCCCTGCTGTGAAAGAGGTGGAAGGGATTCGTCCTGTAGGTGCACAGGGCTGAGGGTGATACTTTCTGATCTCTCTGTGCAGATTGTTGTTAGATGTTGGTGGCTGGGGCCAGCCAGGTTTGCTCTGTAGGCAGGCTTTCCCTGCCTGGAAACTGGCTGCCATGGTGGCTTGTATGTGGATTTTGTTCCTTGTTTTGGGCTCCTGCTGGCTGCTGTGCTCTGACTGGGACTCCTCCCATATGGGACCAACATGGCTAGGAGAGGGTCAACCGAGTCAGAGTATCTTGGAATCACTCACGCCTCTCATTCACCGGGCAGGGCTTCAGTTCCTGTGTGAGCCTGGTGCACAGGATTCTCCTCCTCTGCTGTTGCTTCCTGGTCTCTGTGTGTTCAAAAAGACCTTTGCTGGATGCAGGGTATTTTGCTCATCCAAAAGTGTCTAGGATGTCTCTGTCTGTTGGCAGCTCAGTCCCTACTCTTGTCTTACTCTTGCTCAGTGAGAGATGCGCTGGTCTGCTTCTCCAGGGCAATCCCTTGGATCCCTCTTCATCATCTGAATTTTTGGCTTTCTCAACATGTCTTTTCCAGTTATTCAATTTTTAAAAACCCAAGTGCGCAAGTAATATTTAAATATATTCTGGTAGAAGAGTTAAGCAATATGGGAAAATATAGACTAAATTGTGAGGATCACTTTTCACTACTCATCTCCAATCCCCCCACCGATTCAAATTGTTATCCCCTTTCTAGATATCCCCTGATTACAAAATTATAATATTTGATTTAATTTGGTATATATGATGATAATTTGACACTTGATGATAAGTTTTTTGAGTGTAAGGCCCTTATTTATCTTTTCGTCTTTCATGTAGCCTACTAAAACTATTTATGTCTGCAGAATAGTGTGATATGAGGCCCTGACTTAAGATAATAGATAGGCAATCATTTTGGAAGTAAAATTTTACAACTTGAGGATTTAATGAATGTAAAGGATAAGAATCAAAGTAGACTTCACAGTTCTGGGTTGAGGTATAGCATTGGTGATCCCTTTAAGTGAGCCTGGAAGCTTAGGAACTAAACTGTTTTTTTGCAAAAATATATTGCTAGAATGCTTTCTGATTGTTTTTCATTATTGAAAGCCCTCCTTTATTCATATTTCTAATTTGAATTTGAGTTTGGTGAGGTGCTGAAACATTCAGATTTGGCATAAATTTTCAAAGTTTAGAAAAGACACTGAAAAGTACCATTTCCTGATATAGTTGTGTCTTAGATTTCAGTCCTGGATTAGGAGTATGATCTCTCAGTGGGAGATGGATTTTTTTTTCCTTTTAAAGGCATACTACTTGGATAAATATACACCTGCTTTGCAGTTATTGTTCATCTATAAGTACTGTAGGTGGTAAAAGGGCATAACTTCATTGTGTGTCCATATTTGGAAGCTCATGTCCGAAAGTATGTTTAACTTGTTTCAGAATAAACTTAACAGGATTATCATCATAATATTAATAATCTCATTCTGAGGAGGTACCTCTGAAAAGTTTGTGCTATGAAACATATTCAGATTTCTCTTTTGGCATTTTACATTTTTCTCGTTCTCGTTTGTCTGCTAATTGTGACTAACTTGGCAATCTTTCTCTTTCCAGATCATTCAACGTCGAGTGGCACATTATCTTTTAAGCCTAGTCAGTCATTGGTTGCTCTCCCTACTGCCCATGTGATGCCGTCTAATTCCAGCACTTCAGCTTCTAAGCCTAGGGAATCATTGACACCAGATGGCCCCAAATGGAGTCCCAGCCTCATGCAGACATGGGGAAGCCACTGTACAGGGGAGCAGGACTCTTCACTAGACATGAAGGACTTCCGGCCCCTTCGGAAATGGTCATCTTTGTCCAAACTCACCATTCCTGATCATGGCAGCCAGCGTGGCGCTGCATACACCGCGGAGCCAAGGAACGGTTTAGAAAAGAGAGGGAGGGACAAGGCTCTAGCATCACAGCTAAGGACCCTGGGGCCCAGCTGTCTACATGATAGTATGGAGATGCTCAAGTTAGAAGACAAGGACTTCAGCAACAGACGGTCATCAGCTCTGGTGGACTGCAAGTATAAGTTTGAGAGCTGCAGCAAAGAGGACTTTAGAGCCTGTTCCTCCACTCTTAGGAGACAGACCTTAGACATGACATACAGTGCCTTACCTGAAAGCAAGTCCATCATGCCGAGCTCAGAGGCTTTGGAGCCTCCAAAATGTTTAATGCTTGGTCAACAGGCAGTAGGTGGGGTTCCCATTCAGCCTTCAGTGCGGACCCAGATGTGGCTCACGGAGCAGCTGCGGACAAACCCTTTGGAAGGCAGAACTGCAGAGGACTCCTACAGTTTAGGTCCTTGGCAACAGCAGCAAATTGAAGAGTTTCAACAAGGCAGTGAAACGCCAAGGCCGGTAAGGCTCAAAATCTAGTGTTTGCTTCCCTCCGGTGGATGTTATGAGTACAGTAGCACACTTGTAGTAAGCATATGACATGTCAATGGTCACAGATTGTTTTACTTTTCTTTCCCCTGGAAGTTAAAAGCAGAGATGTTATACACCTGGAAAGTGTGTTGATAAACAAAACTTACCAAAATTGAGACGAATTAACATAAAAAACTTAAAACTTTGTGCTTTCTTTCCTTTTCACTTGCTAAATGGGCATAAAAATAAAAGAAAGCAAAACATATTCAATCTAAAGAAGCTTGGAAACAAAAAATCTGACATAGTGTAATAGAAAGAGCATTTACTTGGTGGTATAAGGTCTTGGATTTTGTCTCTGGTTCCATCAGATTTAGAATTTCAGTGATTCTTAACTTTTCGCGTACTTTGTCTGGGCCTCAGTTTCTTCATCTATAAAACGAGAAGGTAGAATGACAGTCATTTGCAAAGTTTAGGTAATGGTCGATAGTTTATTTAGGCTTATAAATTAGATGTGTTTATTTTAAAAGAGTTAAATTGAGTGTCGACTTATTTTGCTAGTCAGCCCTTGATGTCATATATAAAGAAAAATTGTATATACCCCCTAGTGGGTCTGGGGGATAGCGTGTACGTGTATAAATTTCTTAATTGTAAATGTTTCTATTCCTGGATAATTTTCTACAGCTCATTTTAACCAGGAAACCAATTTTCTGATATAAATCCTGTTGCTCATATTTTATCAGAATTTTCAGAAGCAAATGAACTTTATCAGACATTGCAAAATTTCCCTAGGGTAAGCATTTAAGATTCTGTTCATTACTACCACTAATAAGAAAATAAAGAATAAAGGAAGATAGTCTATGAAATGGTAGGAAGAGCACCTACTCAGGAGCCTCACAAGTCTGAGTACAGACAGTCTCCACACATACACACCACCAAGCATGCTAGGTTTATGTGGGAACCCCGGCATATCCCATGTTCCTGCTTTCTCCTTGTAATCTTGATTATGTGTGTTTAAGCCACATAGCCAAAACAAAAGAATCATTACGATTGAATTGCAAATTTATTTGTGTTTTGTCAATTCAAATGATTGAACTGTAGGAAACCTTCAGATGCTTGTGATTGTTGAATAGAGACCAGTTTTTTCTCAGAAATAAGTACTAATTCACTCCTTTTATTTTGTTTGGATGAACCTCTGCCATAAACAAGGTTTTCCCAAGCCTTGAAGTAATACAGAAAAGGCAGACGGGTTGGAGGTGCATAGTGGAGAAAAATTTATTTTAAAATCTTCTTAGAGTCTGTCATACTTGGTGAACTATCACACAAACCAAGAACTGAATACAAAGTGTTCTCACTCATAAGTGGGTCCTGAACATTTATGCAATACCACAAGAAAGAGTCAGCAGCAACGGGACCCTGCCAGGAGAAGGCAGAAGGGGAGGGGCACATAACGTCACGAAGGGCACCTGATCCTTAGCCAGGGGAGTAAGGACCAGTGGGAGGCCCAGATTTCACCTGCACGTGGACCACTCATGTTCCTCATCCCAATGTGAACCCTGCATCTTTAAAATAAAGAGGGAAAAAGAACACAAAGATAAGGACTTAGATTTAGGAGGTAGAAGTAGGAATCAAAACAGATATACGTTTGGGGAAAAAAAATCTTTGTAGCTCATGGCTACTAATGAACACGATTTGTACATACCCTGGAAGGTTCTCCTTCTTGATTAACCTTATTTGGGGTGGTCTCTCTAGAGTGCTTTTAAATTTTGCAGTAGAAAGATGAAGCCAGGTAAAGACAATTAGACACTTAAGTTGCAATTATTACATGAATGCTTCATTTCTAATTTCCTTTTTGGACTTCTACAGAAAAAAATTATTAAATACCTTCTCTTTGGAGCCTTCAAGTAGTTTTTTCTTTAGTTTGAAAGCTCTTATTATAGTTGTTTGTTGAAAGTGTCTTTGAAATATCGACTTCCTTTTAGTCTAATTTTTACACAAAGAACCTTAATAAGGACCAACTCATCTGATAAAGTGTGATTTTCAGGCACAGCTGCTAAACTTTCACCGTGAAAAAAAAAAAACCCAATATTTTCTCACTAAGAAAATTTGGCGGAAAGTCCTGATCTAATAACACCAGAAATTTATATAGAACTTTGTAGCTCCTAGGATGTTTTATTTCATTTGGTCCTCTCAGCCTCCACAAGTTAATTTGTAACATGAAAGTTTTGCTCTTCCTATAACTCAGTCCAGAATAATAATGAAACCAACCACACAGTCTTTTCTGATTCTTTCAAAGTTTTAAAACAAAGTTTATTAGAGAAAGAAGGAAGAAAAGAAACAGAGACATGCCAGAGTTGGCATGGATGAAAGAAACCGCCGAGCCCCGTGGTCTGGTGTGTGTGATGTTCCTTGATGTCCATGGTTTCCTGTTGAGACGTCAAGAGTGCAGTGCTCTGAAGAATTTTTCTTTGTGAACGAAGAGCAGCCATTTGTGCCTGCAGTTGGATTAGGACATAGGGCTCCATGTGCAGCGTCCACCACTAGGCTTTGGCTCCTTCCTGTTTTCCATGGTGCCTCCACTCTACCCCTAACCTCCTAACCGTTTGCCTTTATTAGGACTGTGACAGAAGAGAAAAAGTCCTTTTCTCTCTTGGGATGAATGCTCCACTTTCCGTGTTCTCCTTGCATTTCTTTTTTGTGGGAGGCTGGAATATGGAGGATTTGCACCTCTCCCTGTAGCAGCCACATCTGTGGGTTCCTGGACGCTCACAGCGGATCTCCCAGACAGCAGTGAAGTAGTGGTCTCTTATTGATGACATTGTTCATCCTTCTTCTCTTACCTTCTTGAGGATGTTTCCGAACTTGGGTTTGCAGTCATTTGGAGGAGGATGAAATTGTGCGCTTATTTAAATCATAAAGGGGTTTGATCCATGACAGTATTGGCACCTAATGCTTTCAGTGTATTTTATTGGAGATTTTCCCTTATATAAATAAAGAGTTTGAGAAAGTGACTTACAGTTAAGTGACTTTGTTTTTGTCCAACATGAAATAAGAATGAAAAAGTTTTATTTATAACTTTGGGGGTGTTTTGTATATTCTGTTACTTTATTTGAAAGGAAACAGGTTTTTTATTTTTGTATCCTGTTTTGTCTTTTATATATATATATATATTTTTTTTTTTTTTTTGAGTCTGGGTTTCACTCTGTTGCTCAGGCTGAAATGCAGTGGCACAGTCACAGCTCACCACAGCCGTGACCTCCTGGGCTCACATGATCCTTCTGCCTCAGTCTCCTAAGTAGCTGGGACTGCAGGCATGTGCCACCATGCCTGGCTAATTTTTTTGGTAGAGATGAGATCTTGTTATGTTGTCTAGGCTGGTTTTGAATTCCTCCTAAAGTGTTGGTATTACAAGCGTGAGCCACTATGCTTGAGCTTTGATTTTTTTTTTTTTTTTTTTTTGAGTTGGAGTCTCACTCTGTCACCCAGACTGGAGTGCAGTGGCCGCTCCCGGCCGCCGCAGCCTCAACCTGCTGGGCTCCGGCGATCTTTCCGCCTCAGCCTTCCAAGTAGCCAGAACTACAGGTGCGCACTACCACACCCAGTTGATTTTTTGATTTATTGTAGAGATGAGGTCTTGCTGCCCAGGCAGGTCTCGAACCCGCAGGCTCAGGCAATCCACTCACCTCAGCCTCCCAAAGGCGCAGGATTACAGGCTGAGCCACCAAGCCCGGCTTGATTTTTTTAAAAAATATTTGAGATAATCTTACTACACAGTCTAAGATGTTGATACTTTGACACTCTGTGGTTAAGATATGACATATTCATTAGGTAGATAAAACGTACATAATTGATTTTGGTATACATACTTTAATAAATGAATTAGTAATATGTTTGACTTTTTCCATCTGTCAACTTCTCTAATACTGGCATATAATTCCTAGACATTTTAAAGTATGCTGTTACTTAGTAGAAAAGCAAATTTTTAAAAAAAATTTATTATATTCCTGCTTTGCCAGAAGAATCAAAAATAATCAAGAGATAAGGAATATCTAGTAGTAGCAAATTTATCATTTTGTGTTGGTCTGCCCTCTTGTGTTTATTCTAGGAAATCTTGACTTTATTTTATTTGGAGAAAGTCACCCAGAAGAGCCCTGTAAAATTAGAATGTTTTGTAGTCATTCTCAATCACGAGTATATTATAGAGCAGTTTCACTGAGTTGAAGAACGTTTATGTTACATAGATCATTCTGATTATTTGCATTAAACAGTATGCATTTTAACCATAAAATATAAAAGCCAACATTCAACATTTTAAAATGAGTTGTTTTTAGTATCTTGTGAATTAAGATTAGATTTCATTCTGTAGTAGTAGGTTTTTGAGCATTATTTAAATTCTTAAAAATACATTGTTTTATTCTTATACATCATGATAAGGAGAATGAATAAATCTCATTTAAAGTGTGGGTTTGTTCTCTTATTCTGGGTTACAGTATTCTATAGTCCTCACAGTATAAGGTTTTAGTTTCTATCGAAGACAGAATGAAGATCAAAAAAATTATTTATTTCTGAGGAAAAACCCCATAACTTCACAGTTAATAGTTTGAAGTTGATATTATAATGAACAGTACAATGAAAGGAGTAGGACTTATCAGTTCAAGTTTTGCACTTGTGTTTTGTTTTGTTTTTTTTCTTTTTTTTTGAGTCGGAGTCTCACTCTGTCGTCCAGGCTGGAGGGCAGCAGCACGATCCCGGCTACCGCAGCCTTGCCCTGCTGGGCCCGGCGATCCTTCCACCTTAACCTTCCAAGGAGCCAGAACTACAGACGCGCGCTACCACACCCGGCCAATCTTTAATTTGTTGTAGAGATGAGGTCTCACCAAGTTACTAGTTTGAAGATGATATTATAATGAACAGTGCAATGAAAGGAGTAGGACTTATCAGTTCAAGTTTTGCACTTGTTTTTAAGATTAGTGCACCTCATGATAGAACTTGGATACTTTTTACACTATTAATTTCCTGCAACCAGTTAGGTAAGTGTATCATTTATTGTTCATAAGTGTTCTACTTGTTATTGGAGATCTCCAGCCTGCAGGTGAGGCTTCACTTAAGAAGTCCCTGTCCCTCTGTTCCTCTGACATCCCTAAACCAAACCCACTCCTGTTCCCTATCTCTAGTACTTCTCTGGCATTAGAAGATTTAAAAGCAGCATCTTCTTTGTTGTTGAGTTAGCAACAGTTATGTTGGTACTGATGTTTCATATTCTTTTAGTAACCATGTTTTAGATTATATGGTTACACATTTTCTGATTCTTTAATAATTATTATATTAGTAACACATCTTGAACTGAAGTTAAAATTGTTGAATTATACAGCATAGGTGTAAAACTGTTTTAGACTTTAACTTAAACTCGAGTTAAATTATCAAAGTTTGGTGAATATATTTTCCAGCACTAATTTTTACTTCTGTTATTTTTTGAGTTGCTGGAAGAGGCTTTAAAATGATCAGAGAGGAAATTGAAAATATATTCAGCAAGAAAATACAGATTAGCATTGCTGGATCTATAATTTAACTTAGTTAGAATAGCCTACAAAATAGTTGTTTACCAGATAACCGATTCAGGAAAGTAACTATATTCTGTTACAGTTGACCCTTGAACAACGTGGGCTTGAACCGTGTGGGTGCACTTGTGCATGTGTTTTCTTCCCTGGCGGCGACCCCTGCGCCAACAAGAACAACCCCTCCTCTTCCTCCTTCTCTTCCTCCTCCTCCTTTGCCCACTCCATGTGAAGACAGAAGGATGAAGACCTTTATGATAATCTACTTCTACTTAATGAACAGTAAATATGTTTTTTCTTCCTTATGATTTTCTTTATAACACTTTCTTTTTTGTAGCTTACTTTATGGTAAGAATATCGTGTATAATACATATAACATACAAAATGTGTAAAATGACTGTTTATATTAATCAGTAAAGCTTCTCGTCAATAGTAGGTTGTTAGTATGAGAGAACTGTAATAGAGTATACCATAAACTTAGGTTAAGAGCATGGTATAACCCAATAAATATGTAATCAGCTTGTGGACAGTAGCACAGCCATTTTAGTTTTCTGCTTTAAAACATAACCTGTAGCTGTTTAAAGTTTCAGTTATGGGAAAAACTGCAAAGCTCCAGTTCAAGCTTCAACCCCTTCCCTTGACCCACTTTCCCTTTAGCAACAACCAGTCAGGTGCCAGGGGAAAATCACCTAAAGTTTCCAAATGTGTCTGCAACTTCCCCAGCTAGTGGGCCAAGGTCAGCCAGAGTCAAGCTAGCCAATCCTCCATGATTGAGCTGACCACCAGAGGTTACTACCTAATTAAATGGTAACAAGACTGGAAAGTCCCCCCAAACTCCTCCTCCCTTTGTGTAAAAACATAAAAGGTGTCTGCTTAAGGAAATCAGAGCCTCTGAATGTACTCCGCTGTGTCGGTTGTCGACAGAGGTCCAGGCTCGAGCTTGTAAATAAAGACCCTCTTGAACTTTCATTGGAATTGGCTCTTGGTGGTCTCTTGGATTGAACTTTCGGCTACTACAAGTAGTTAAGTTTTTGGGGAATCAAGTTATACGTAGATTTGCCAGTGCTTCTTAATCCCCATGTTGTTCAAGAGTCCACTGTACATATAATAGATGGAGCACAAGTTTACTTTAAAATGTAATCTAAGACATATTGAATATTTGGGGAGAGAATTCACATTTTTTAAAAATACACTTTTCTGTCATTGGAAATGTTTTATTCCTAGCCTATACTGGATATGAGGTTGGAATAGAAGACAAATGTAGACTCATTCTGAAGTCAAGATTTTATTATTACAAAGAAGTAGTATGGCAGGCTAGGTACTCTGCTCATATAATCACTGCAATGCCTAAAATGAAGGTGAGGGTCTGTTCTGTTAGGGTCTTAGTGACTTATGACTAGTCACACTGATGTTAAATTAAGCCTCAGTTCTCATCTGTAGATTAGATCACAGTGATTAGAGAACAGGTTTATGCTTTATCTGTGTGTACTAGAGTTCTATAGTTCTTTGAAAAAATTGCTTAAGAGGAATTTTGTTTATGTAAGAGTATGGCCTTTTCCCTACTTGATTCTCCTAAACTTAAAAAAATGCTAATATGGTATAGAAAAGATAATTTTTATTTGAAACTGTAGGTGGAGATAGAGCTACTACAGAGAGCTCTGTACAATAGTGAAGGTAGCATGTGAGGATTCAGTGGGCCATTCTGAACAATGGTTCTTCTTTTGATACTTGGTGAAGATCTGAGAAATACTTAATCAGAATCAAAATCTTTGGTAGTGTAGTAGAAATTACATTTACCCCAAAGAGTGAAGCTAATGCTTTATATTTGAAGTGAGCTTGTTAGCAGTGCAGTTTCACAGCTAAACTCCTACTTCATCTTCAGAAAAGATTGGGGATAGAACTTTATAAGCCATGTTGAGAAAATCAAGTTAAATTGTGCATTCTTATAGTATAGTCATTTTGAAGTTAATTCTTTGAAGATAAATCCCTTTTCATGTTTACAAGATTCAGCAGATGAATACATTTGCTAACAATTTGTTTTACTGTTAACCGTGACCTTTTCCCAAGGAAATTCCTCTACTTGGAGGGGTCTGTTGTGTAGCCTTGTTTCCCCCCTCTCCGTGGGACGACCCTTGTGGGCTGGTGGGCTGAGCTGCAGATCTGGAGGTTGCAGCCCAGCTTAGAGAAGCATCACGATGATGCAGATCAGCAAGAGACATATCAGGATGAGACAGAAGTTGATGAACAGGTTCTGGAGGTTTTGGCGTGCTTGTGGAGGCATCTCCATGGTGGACGCTCTTCTTAGGGCAGAGCGGGTGAGGTGCTGGACCTTCTCCATGACACCCGGGAGGCAGAAAGTCTGAGGTTGAGACGGTCACGTGACAGATACAAAGGTGGCAACCAGAGGTGAGACCCACTGCCTTCTTTTAGGTCGCCTGGAATGTAAAAATAGAACATGGATTAGAATCACGTGTGTAGCTTGTTCTCTGAACGGGTAACACGATTTTGCATTAATTCATCTTAGCACTGTTGTATTTACAACATCGAGTATCTCTGTGGTCTCCATGTCTGTACGTGTGTATGCGCGTGTGTTTTTGTGTGTCTGTTGCTTCCTTTTTTGATGCGGCTTGCCATGACAGTCTCATTTGCTTTGTGTTTGGGGTCTTTGTCTTCTTCTCCCAAAACGACTAGAAATAGTGCAGTTAATAATGCCATTCATAGGCTCTTGGAAACTGACTTCAGGCAAAATGATGTGTGATGAAACCAGTTGTACCCTAGACTGACTGATGAAAACAAGAGTTAAGTTTCTGTGGCATATTTCTGTCACCAAAATGTCACCACATTTCTCAGTAAAGACCAAAACACTTCTCATGTTAAACATTGAAATGAATGTGAGCTGTATGTACACTTAAGAAAGGATAATAAAACTGAGTAAGACAATTACTTGTCCGATTTTTGGTGAATCAGTGAGTGACAGCAGTCGTAGTGATGGGAGTTAAGTCAAGGAAGAGATGTTTGCAAAGCGGAAATTGTCAGGAGCGCCTCCACCACCATGCGGGTCAAACATAGTTGCCAGTGTGATGGGGCTACTGAGTGCTTTTGTGCCTTCCTGTCTGTTGTTGGACATTTCTGAGGTTGTCGCAGACTTTACCAGTTTGTGTTTGTCAATGGTTTGTGCTCATCCCTGTATTCATTTTCCAACTTGCTTATTCTGGTTCAGAGTCATGGGTGGCTGGAGCCTATCCTGCAGCTCAGGATACAAGGCAGGAGGAACCTGTCCTGGACAGGAGACCATCCTATCACAGGCCACGCTCACACACACCTTCCCACTCTCACTCACCTGGGACAGCTTAGATACGCTGTGAACCCCAAGTGCACGTCTTTGGGACACAGGAGAAAGCTTTGGGACACAGGAGAAAGCTGGAGTGCCTGGAGAAAACCCATGCAGATGGAGGGAGGATAACCGTAACTTCACTCCACAGAAGGAGGGAGGGAAGGAAGGAGGCTGCTTAAAGTTGATGTCGAAGGAAGTGGTGCTGTTTGAGGACCTGTCGAGTTCAGTTTAGGGACAGCTTGTTTGGGGCCATTCTTTTGGGCAAAAGTTCCTATAGATAATTTTTTTTAAGTCTGTTCCTCTGTTGATGTGACTGGTGTGAACATTTAGTCTATTAATAGCTGCAGAGCCAATTTCATAGAAACGAAATGCATACAACAAATTATTCCCCAGATCTTTTTTTTTTGAGTTGGAGTCTCACTCTGTCGCCCAGACTGGAGTGCAGTGGCCACTCCCGGCCACCACAACCTCGCCTGCTGGGCTCCGGCGATCCTTCCGCCTCAGCCTTCCAAGTAGCTGGAATTACAGGCATGCACTACCACGCCCGGCTGATTTTTTGATTTATTGTAGAGATGAGGTCTCGCTGCCCAGGCGGGTCTCGAACCCGCGGGCTCAGGCAATCCACTCACCTCAGCCTCCCAAAGGCGCGGGATTATAAGTTGAGCCACCGAGCCCGGCTTATTCCCCAGATCTTAATTTTAGTCCAAAATAAAAGAGTTAGATGAGAAGTCTTTTACCAGAAAGGTAGGTTCAAATTGTTTGTCATTTTTAAAAATGGTTTTGTAGGTTGGTAGAATGTTGTTTTCTTTTTTTTTTGTTTTTGAGTTTGAGTCTCACTCCGTCGCCCAGGCTAGAGTATAGTGGCACACTCACGGCCACCCCAGTGTCGACCTGCTGGGCTCCAGCAATCCCACCTCAGCCTTCCAAGTGGCCAGAACTACAGGCATATGATACCATGCCCCGCTAATTTTTTGATTTAATGTAGAGACAAGGTCCAACCATGTTGGCCAGGCTAGTCTCGAACACACAGATTCAGTCATTCCTCTCTCCTTGGCTTCTCAAAGTGTTGGAATTACAGTCTTGAGCCACCACGTCCAGCCTAGAATGTTATTTTCAATAATTTTTTTTTTTTTTTTTT